GACTCCATTGGCACCACACTTTAGGCTCTCTTGGTAAACAGTCTCCCACTATAGCGGAAGATAAGGCATACATGGAGAATGTACCTTATGCTAGTGCAGTTTTTCGGTTTAATCTATGCCATGGTGTGTACACATCTAGCCATTCACAAGCAGTCAGTGTTGTTAGTACGTTCATGGCGAACCCAGGTAATGCACATTGGGAAGCAGTGAAATGGATTTTACGATATTTAAAAGGTACCATTGCCACAGGTTTGTGCTTTGGTGGAGATACATGTCAGATTATGCTAGTGATATAGATAGAAGATCTAGTACCGGTTATATGTTTAAAATAAATGGTGCTCTAGTTAAGGAAGCCTAGCTAGGCTGAAGGAGTTAAGGAAGCATTGTGGTTAGGATAGTGTGAATCTAAATTGTGCCAGCTAAAGTGCTATTCACTTAATCAAGAACTAGGTTCATCATGCTCGTACCGAACATAAAGATGTAAGGTATCATTTTGTATAGGATGTCATAGAGAAAGGAAGTATTTCTCTTGTGAAAGTGCATAAAAATGAGAACCCTGCATACATGTTAACAAAAGATGTGTCTAGAAGCAAGTTCCAACATTGTTTGGAATTGCTTAACATTGTCTCATGTTAGGCATTAACATAGAGAAATAAGTGGATCTACGATTTGTTTGATCCCGGTCAAGGGTACGTAGGCAACCATTGTCAAAATGGTGCAACCGGATACGGATAACTAAAATTTGTTCGTCTATAATTTGAACGTTTTTCAAATTATGAACGAGGTGAAGAATTATGGGAGTATATGGCTCTAATTAACCATATAATTTGTTTCTTTAAAAATTTAGAGAAAGAGAGACTTTTTAGGAGAGGAAAGTGGGTATGATAGCAAAATGGAAGGAGTACATTTTGCAAATGACATGTTACATTGTTTAGTTAAATAGTTTCAGCCATTCTTTTTTTAGCATTAAGTTATTATATAATTCTTAGGTTGTAATGTTGATAAATTTTTAAACATTATTCACGTCATAAAAGGTTTAGCTTAATCAAGTTTATTTTCTTACACTTATTATTTCCTTCATAATGGTTGTTTGTTTATCCCAAATATTATTTATTTATGAGGTTTAGTTTTCATATTATTTAGTACTCCCTCTGTTTCGTAATAATCGCAATAGTAGGGAGAGCACAAAGTTTTAGGAAAATTATGGGGTGCGGACCAAAAAAGAAATTTTATACTCCCTCCGTCCCTTAATGATAATCCCTTTTGGTGAAATTTCATGGGAATTAAGAAACTTAAATAAGTAGTAGTAAATGTACATTGGAAAGGTAAATTTACATGGCTATGGAAAAAAGTAGAGAGAAAAAGTATTAAAAGTATATGGAAATGTAAAATTTATATGGGAAAGCTAAATTTGAACAAATATTGTTGAGATTTGGAGGGAGTTTTGGTAAATAATTTAATATTAATGGTTGTTGGAAAAAGCAAATGGGGTGAACGTTTTGGGACTAAAATTTGGCCAAAAGGGACTATCATTAAGGGAAAGAGGGAGTAATATATATAGTTGGTGGGTATATATGTAATTGTTAGTAGGAGAGAAATAAAAAAAAAAGTTGTGTAAGTGGGGTTGGTAGGAGAGAGAACTAATATAATAGTAGTGAGTCCTTACCAAAAAAGGAAGTGTTGTAATTATTATGAAATGGATGAAAAAAAAAAGTGTTGCGATTATCACGAAACGGAGAGAGTAGAAGCCGTATTTCTGCTGCGAGAGCTCTAACAAGCACAGTTACCAATTATTAGAGCGCGCAACAAAAATGCGTCTTCTGCTAGATAATACTCTCTTTGGGTTTTTTTATAAGCTAGAGTTGGATTTTCACATTTGCCAAGACACAACTTTGTTCATTAATATCTTTAATTAGAGATTAGTAAAAAGTATAAAAAAAATTAATTTATAAAAGTAGAATTTATGACAAATCCAACAACATATTATATTATCATATTTATATATTATATATTGGTTAAACAATTAAGTCAATCATGACATATGAATAGTGGAAAATCCTAACTATAGCTTGTAAAAAAATAAAAAAACGGAGGGACTATATTAATACCTCACAAATAATATAATATTTTGGGATTAAACGATCAACCACTTTGAAGGAAATAAATATTTTATAAGAAAACAAAATTTTCTTAAATTATATCCAACCATTTAATGCGAATTTATAAATTGATTACACATTTTACCGGACAACAATTATATAATTAATTACATGCTAAATAAGTTACAATAAATATTTGCCCCTAATCTAAAACCAATTATGTGCATTGTTTCAATCAAAAACTAGTGTTTAGCACGGGCGAATACGTTAAATATTCTTGTATTATAATTTTCATGTATTATATTTTGTGTAGATGAATTTGACCCTTTTTCTTTGTGTACATATTAATCTTAAATGCTTTCATTTTAGATTTAGTCTATAAAGTAATTTGTCTTCTAGAATTTAGCTTGAAGTATGTACTACTTAACAAAATAGCAAATATAAAAGGGGGAGATGATAGGGGTACACTTGTACACCACTCTTCCTATTGGCTGAAATGGAAAAAAGCACTCTCATGGTCTATATTAATTATATTTAAGAAGAATAAATAAGCAAAATTATTAGATAGCAAAGATGGTATGACTTCTCATTCATTTTCTAATGGACCCGAGTTCAATTCTTGACATAATCATTTTTTAATTGACGTATACCATTCATATTTCTAATTGGATGACGTGGCATCCTCTTGGTGGAAGAGAGGGATGACACATGACATGTATCCTTGATTAGGAACGCTTTTTAATATATAGTATTGATGTTTCCTACATTTGCTGCCGTCAAAATAGAAAGATGGCAATTACCATTTTTACATTTTCCTCCTTTTCTCACATTTTGTAAAACCTTTTGTAATTCTTTTGATTGTCCTTGTACAATGTTTCACAAAACAATCCACCCTAACAAGGTCTCTCTTATGTCTACACACTCCAAATCTTACTTTTACATGCTACCTCCTGCATAATTTTGCTGCATCGCTTGCATGTGCCACGCATGTGTCACTTCACATACCAAGTGCAGCTTTACATAAACCCTTTGATAACCGCCTCTCGTGCTTTGATGATCCCCAGTTCACGTGATTTCTCTTTGCCTTTACAGAAGTGCTCTTTGCCTATGACCACCAACACCGCATACTCTTTCGTTCTACAAGAGACACATCCTTTAAACTCAATGATCAATAATTCAACCTCTATCTTCCCTCTGATGACCTGACACAATGAACTTTTGCGGTTTTCCCCATCATTATGCCTATTAGAATCAGTTGCAAGAGCACTATAATTAGATGCTGCTCTCTTATTGACTTATTGACTAGGGGTGAGCATAACAGGATAAAATTTCTTGGGGAACTGAAACCTGTTGCAACAGGTTCCACAAAATGAGAACCAAAATCGGACGTTTTAAGCAGATACCTAGAAAATGGGAACGTTTCGGTTCCAATTTATGTTACACTGTCTTTTTATATATTTCGTACTTTTTTGCAAAATTATTTCAAAAATTTTTGGTTGGTCATAAATTTACAACTCATACAACTTGCAATTAACAAACCAAAAATAGTTGTTTAGCAAATTTAATAAATATGTTTATAACTGTATTTTTTGTATTAAAAATTAGGCTTAATTGATGAATGATTTAGGTTTAAGTGATACTTTTATCAGGTTACAGGGTATTCTACAGGTTTCGGTTTTAAAAAATTGAGAACCTGAATCGAAACCTGTTGCAACAGGCTTTCCATTTTACTACCCGGAACCGGAACCTCTTGTATAGGTTCTGCGGTTCCTAACTGCCTAATGTTGTCTGTTATTCTCTTAAGTGCGGCTGCATGTTTAAAGATTGGTCTTCTGCCATCGCACAATTAATGTATCTGTTTCAATATAAAACAAAATCAAGCTCTATAACCACTATTCGGGGTGCTTATGACCTGCATCTTATTCTTCATGTAGGATCTCCTTGAAAATATGCAAACACGAACATGGTTTAAGAAAGCTCCATTTACTTGCATTCTTACTTCATCTTCTGGAGAATTGCTCCCTTCTTGCTATCATCAAACTCCCAAGGAAACCTTATTCCCCCCTAAAGGTGCTTCAGAGCATGAAAGTGAGACCTTAAGAAAAGAGAGTCAAATCCATGAGCTCTTTATTGCTTCGGTTACTTTGTTCAGTTTGTTGTATGAAACTATGAATCAACAATACTCAGCATTTAAATGCAAGGAAATCAATTTATTATGGAATGACTTGAATATTTCATCTTCTCCTTATATCATTCAGCACTTTTGGATTATACTCTCTGAGTTTTTTAGGCGATGAACTCGTTTTGGCCATTGTCAATGCAAACAAGAAAAAGAACAGCCTCCTGTACTATTTTTCTCAACTGTTTTGAAGTTGTGGATATTGATGGTACAGAAGCATTGATGCCTTGATGGTGCTATGAAAGACCCATGCATCAAATGTATGCTTCTCTTACTGTAAAAGAAAAAGTATGGTCACTTTTATGATCTGATACTTTCTTACAAATAACATTTGTTAATGATACGCTTAGGGAGGTGAGTTGGTGATTAGAGCAGCATTGGAGTATCCTTTGCCCTCTGACCCTTTTCTTCTGTCGGCCACCCTCTTCCCCACTTCCCCAAATAAAATGGGGGAACAAAAAAAAGGAGCAAGTTTGGATTGTCAAGTTCTCTCCTTTGTCTATGCACATGTAATCACTGAACCAGCAACCAACATGATTTGCTAGTTTTGTGAACACTTTAATAAGAAGTACTATATAACAATCTTTTTGCCCTGTATTATCTTGCACACTTATTTTCTATGGGTTGTCCAAAGTTGAACGCACTTATTACCTTTTTAAGTAATCCTTCTGTTATGCTTTTTTATTTCTATCTAACTACACAGTTTTCTTCAACTTTTACAGGATGGTCGGAGGACAATACCTGTAGATCATTCACTTTCTGCACCTCTTATCCAGGTGCTGCATCGTAATTCTTCGCCTTCTAATGTAGCACAATCTGTTACGCCTCCAATTTCAACTGACAAACCAAGTATACGAGCTCCCCAAACGTCTAGTCATAATGGCAACCGGGTTGTATTGAGTTCCAATGGGACAAGAGCATCAAACCAAAATAGCACAGGGGAAAGTTCTGTTAGTGACAGTAATATGGATACAGGATTAAATTCTTCTGACATCTTAGAGAAAGCCAGAGTAGCCATTACCTCAGCAGAGCGTGCTTCAGCTGCAGCCAGAGCAGCTGCACAATTGGCGAATGTTAATTTTGGATCATTGAAGGTAGAAGGGAAATCTTGAACGAGTGTGTATATAATTATATTGAGTTCTATTGTATTTTTGTGTCTTGTTGCAACTAGCGAGCTACTTACGATCTGGAGCTGCACATGTGAATGATCTGTCTTTTCTGGTGTGAAGGTTGCTGTCTTTCTCCCTTGATTTATTCTCTTTTGCATGGTTGCTCAAGGCTTGTGTATTTATAGCAAATCTCTAATTCATGAATATTGAATCCTTGGATTTGCAGGAGAAGTTTGTTGTGCAGTTAATTGTACTTGTAATTGAAAGCTTTCTCATTAGTTTGATATCAGCGAGCTTGCTTCTTCAGTGCAGGACAATGTAGAAAAGATCATTTTTATTTCATTCTTTGATAAGCATCTTTAAATTTTACATAACAAACAAGCTTGGTGTAGATGGTGGAGAACTCACTTTTTAACTTTGAGGTCGTTAGTATGAGGTCCACTTTCTGCATTTGCTTGGGAGTAGGGGAATACCCTTACCTTCCCCATCTACGTTAAGATTTTTCAGTTACAAATAAGTTAAAAAATTAATACAAACAAAATAAGTTCGGAAAATTCAAATAAAATATGTTTAGACAAAATATAATTAAGCTAATATAAAAATAAGTTTAAACAAAATAATTTTGATAAAATTAAATGAATTAAATAGAGCCTTAGTAAAGTGTATGGACATTAAGCAATTTAGGGAGCGGAATTGGATTTAAAGCCCAAAATTCCATGAAAGTGCAACTGGGAGAGTTTGTATTGACTTAAACTAATTTCTTTATTATTTATGAGGGGACTTTTTGTACCCTACAAGCATGCTTATGCTCTATATCAGTTAGTTTAAATCTACTAAGTTTAGCTAAAATAAATGTAGAGCTGATAAAGATAATTTTAGGGAGCATAAGTTCAAATAAGTTTCTTCAGGAAGGTTATTTATTGCTAATAATAAATTCATATTATTTCAAGGCTCTATTCTCTCCCGATAATCTTCATTAATTTAGATTTAAGAAATTATGATAAATTCAAATATGATAAGTTTAGGATAAGTCCATACAACATAGAATAGTGTCTCAAAAAAAAAAAAACGTATAACCTCTACATTAGGATAAGAGAATAAGGAAAATTCAGGTAAAATAACCTCTACATTAGTAAGATATGGTCCGAAAGCAATGACTTGGTGGCCTGGGAAAGTAATCACAACATCTTTCATCAATAGAAATGAATACGAAAACACCTACTAAACTTCACTTGAATAGTTCTTTTTTTAAATCAGTCAACAAATGTATATATTTTGGCCAGATAATTGTGAAAGTGACTAAACCTTAAACTATACAATTGTACATTTTGTTACAAAACCAATTAACGATAAGTCAATAAGTTAGGCCTTAGGATTTATATACTGTGTTTTTTTGCTTCTATGTAATCCGATATTTGCTTAATTTTAGTACTCCCTCCGTATTTAAATAAATGAAATGTTTTAACTTTTTGTATTATTTATCTAATTCACTTTGATTAATATTTGTGATTTATAGCTATGAATAAATATAGTTTTGTGGGTATTTGTTGAAATTATCCCAAATTAAGAGTTTATTAATATTCAGTTATTATAGTTTTTACTTATTGTTTAAAGAATATTATCAAACAAAGAATTGTATTGGCATACGTGCACAAGGAAAATATTTCATTTATTTAAACACGGAAGGAATAATTGATTATTACAAACCCTCATATTTATAATGAATTATATACTAAGATATTTTATATGTGGCTGGCCACACCGTGTGGTCGGGATTACTTGAGTTTCTCGATCAAGGGTTACTCGAGTTACTCAGTAAGGGGTTACTTAAGGGGATTCGGTCAGGGGTTAGTTAAGGGGTTCGCTCAAGGGTTACTCGGTCAGGGGTTACTTAAGGGGTTCAGTTATGGGTTACTCGGTCATGGGTTACTTGAGGGTTCGGTTAGGGGTTACTTGAGGGGTTACTCGGTCAGGGGTTCGGTTAGGGATTACTCGAGGGGTTACTCAGTCAGGGGTTACTCGGTCAGGAATAACTCGAGTAACCCCTGACTGAGTAACTTGAGTAACCCCGGCAACTCGAGTAACCCTTGACCGAGTACCTCGAATAACCCCGGCAGCTCGAGTAACCCTTAACTGAGTAACTCGAGTAACCCTGGCCACATTGTGTGGCCAGCCACACAGAAAAATCCCCCTAAATTTTATGAATTTCTTAATTATGCATCATTTGTATTTATATTTATCCAAAAGAGCACAAACGAGGCTTCTTAGTCACTAGATCCTCTGTTCTGTTATCATACTAGATTAGTACACGTGCGTTGCACGTTGATGATAAGTAATTTTTCCTAATTTATATTATGTGAAATAAGTAATTTATAAACTTTAATCATGACTATATGTTTTTCATTTAGCGGGATTACAAATTTATACTTGTTCTTTTCTTTCTCTTAATTTATTTATTTTCCATAACCAAATAACTATTTTGAAGAAATCAAAGATTGGCATTATCCATAAGATCAATTAAATAATGATTGACATTATGCATAAATTGTAGATTAAAGAAAAATAAAAAAATAAACAATAATGACATCATACATTAAATTGGTGGGAAATTTTTTAATGAGGAAGCAACATATAGGATAAAGACGGGGATTGATAATGTCAGCAACGTTTTGTTTTAGTATTAGCTGATAGATTCTTAAAACTACATAGATATTATATTTAATGTATTTTTTGTAAAGCTCCTTTATTATAATGTTTCTATTAATCAATTTTATTTATACGAATTACACTATAGGATAGGTTTAAATGTGTTAGAACATCTATCAAAATAAGATAATAGTGGTACATATTAATCAAATTAATAAATTGTATTCTATATCTATGAGTAGAATATTTGAGAAATACGAAGTACTAGAATTCACTATCATAATTCAATATTCAATTCACTATCATAATTCAATATTCTGATGTTCAAAGGCGTATGTACGTGTAAGAGTAACCAGTTAACCACACCACCCTAATCATCAATGACTGTATTTGAACTTTATTTGATCTTCAACATCGTTAAGGAATACTACCAAATAAAATTTCATGGACCACCTAATACATAAGTCATACATAAACCTCGAAAATTGAGCAAAAACACATAGAGCAGCTAGCATCAACTAACCATGCATTCAAAAAATGATGTATTATGAATAATTTCAGGGGGAAAAAAAGTCGAAGAAACAAGTATAAGTCTAAAAGGAAAAGTGCCAAAGAAACATAACATGTATCCTACTTTCCTAAACAGGCTACTATTGTTTAAACCAATGAATTGTTCAACCCTACAAATAAAAAACATTTCATCCGTTTAATTTTATATGTAAGTGATTTTTGTGATAATATATGGTTGGTTGCGCATGCTTTCAGAATTTATTACGCACACATGCAGGTGTGATCGTGTACCCTCACCTTCATCTATCGTCCTATACTTACGACTAACATCAAATTAAAGTATTTTTACATAAAAATCGCTATTTTCAACATCATTGTCATGCAACTATCCAAACCCACTTCTGATTCATGAAATGTAACACTTGTTAATGAAAAACATAAAAACTTCAGCTTAAAGCTCTGAATACCACTCAAACAAGTACTTTTTGTGCATTTGAGAGAGTGGGGTTCCATGTAAGAAAAAGATGTGTCAATGGAGTGGGAAGGATTGGAGGAAATTTATGCTGTGAAATAATGGAAGATGCGCGGATAGTAGAAGAATTTTGTATGTTAATAATGATATAATATGAAGTCAGTCTTAAACTTCTATAACCCTCAACTTCATATTTTGGTTGAGTAATCAAAAATAGTGTAATGTGAAGATAATGCATGATAACATGTAAAGTTGATCTTGAGCTCTAACTATTAAATTAAAGTTTTGGTTGAGTTGGTCATTTGACAGTTAATACAGAATGTTAACCAAAAGCGCATGTCAAGTAACACATTTAGAATAGCTAGCTTGGAAACACGAATTGAACATTAAAGAGAATTGTGAGGCGAAAAAAGGGTTGCGGAATTATTTTAATTTTTTGGACACAACAATGTCTAACTTGCACTAGTACTATTTATACAATGATTAGGCTATGGTCGCTCTTGTTGCTAATTAGTTGATAGCTGATTGATATAACTGAATGTATTAAGTAATCTGACTAGCTTGTTGTATTAGCTAGTTGTGTAAAAATATGTGATTAATTACTAATAATTGTTAGCTATTCAATGCATGTAATAACTAAAAAAACTAAATGTTCAATACACTAATTAATTTAATATAAAGCTCTTTTGAATGTATTAAGTTAGTAATGACAAAGAGTGTGAAAACTATTATAACAAAATTGCGGCTTGTTATTATATATTTTTGGTGTGTCAAGGATATAAAATAGCCACGTCGGGAGAAAAAAACACATTAAAGAGGGGGGTGAAGTTAATTGAATTCGGGTGTTTTAATGGAGCTTGATAATAATGAGGAGTACAAATGTACAATCATCCAAGTAGAGTAGACCGCGTGATCTGCAGTTGTGAACCAATATTGGTCTTTTTGAGATGAACAGTCGCTTTCATGCATCTTCAATTATGCATGTTTTCACAGGGGTTTACTCCTCCTCATCCACTTGCTATAACTTATGCTATGCTGCCCGTCTTCAAATTTTAATCATCTTGAATAATGGTTTATATTATATTAGATACATACTTGATAGAGTACTTAAATAATCTGATCTTTTCATCGTTAACGTTGCATCATTCAATTCATTATTAATGCAACAAACAAATAGAAATGGATATTCACTTTGACCGCGAAAAAGTTTGGAGTATGTAGTTTGATCATGTTCTTCAAGTCCCTTCACGGCATCAATTTGTCGATGATTTCACTAAGTGGCCTAGCTTTTACGGTACGTATGATGGGAGTGGAGGCAGTGGCCTGGAGCTCCAGCTTTGATCAAAATTGTTCTTGCATAAATAAAATCACTACTAGTGTTATTTGTCATGTTATAGTTGAAGTAAAACCGCTAACATCAGTAGCAAATTTATTGAATAAACTCCTACTGATTTTAAAGGTTAATTAATGTAAAACCACTAACACTTGTAGTGGTTGTATTGATGGTCAAGAATAAGGCCCTGTTTTTTTGAGCTGTCGTAGTCTGCTCTGCTCTATTCTATTTTGCGTGCCCTGCTCTACTGAGTATTAATAATCTACTCTACTCTGCTGACACCTGCTTTGCTCTGCTCACCTTTACTCAGAAGCTCAAAAGAACAGGGCCTATCTATGAAAGTAGAAAACAAACCTTTAATAGAGTATATAAATTAAAAGCTTTTGGTTGGAACTCAGATCGATTTATATACTGTATCACATACATACCAACCCACATAAACACAGCTGTTTTCAATTGTAGCATTTATCATGAAAACCACTCATTATTCTAATTTTGTCATTAATTAGAAAGTAAAAGTCGCTAAAATTTAAAATGTACTAAGTACAAGTTTGTCTAAAAATAATTGGTTTGACCGACCTAAACAAGACTTACAAGAGTGATGATGATGATAAGTGAGACATAATATTTGGGATCTGCATAGGATTTTGCACCAAATTAGTTGTTGTTTTCAAATGTAATGATATAGTACATAAACAATATAATACAAACAACATAATGCCACAAAGAGTGATACATGATTGCCATGATATCATTATTATCTCTTATTTTCTCATCAGGTATCACTTCTCGTTCTCGGATTTGGATCCTCTATATAGGGTGGTCCATATTTATAAATGTATTTGCCTGAGAGATATTTAGCAGTGCCTACCTAAACACTTCTATCACTTTTAGTTCACAATTTGTAACCTGATATCTGCATTTATTGTTGCCTAGCAACCACACACATTATTGATATGATTGTCTCTATTTCAAATGGATGTGTTTGATGCATTGCTCGGTTCAACTCGGGTTCTAGTCAGGTTCGGTTTGAACAATGCTTGTTTAGTACTCGAATTGGAACTTCGTTCTCGGGTTCAAATTGACCTACGAAGTTAAAAAGCCCTATTTAATTATTTCTATATGAATTTGTTATCTGTGATTATTATTAAACCTTACACTTCTACTAATCAAACATAGTCATCCTTATACAACTCTTACCGTACAAATAAAACATACTTAATTCTTCACACCATGCAAAGTCCGAAGATACTAATAGCGTGCAGGAAAGTCGATCTTAATTTTGTGTTTCAATAAGCCTCGCTCTGTTTGTTTTGAATAAAACATTTTCGATGAAAGTTGATTTTTCATGGAGAATATAGTTTCAAGGAAAACTACATACAATTGCAAATAAGTTTTTATTTGTTTGTTTCCTTATAAGAAAAGTTAGAAAGAAATTGAAAATAAATTACAAATCAGTTTTCCTTTACTAGTTTCCTGACAAAAAAAAAAAATAAAGTGAATAGTGTACTGGTGATGATGGATGAGAGGAAATTAAAAAGGAGTAATGAGAGGAAATTAAAAAGGAGGTAAAGAGTGTTGAAGCATAAACTCTAAGCGGACACATGTAAGTGTCCCATATTGAAAAAAGAAGAGAGAGTTAAACACTTTACGAGAAAAGAAGAAAGAGTTAAACATTTTATAAGGCTAAGGGCCTACTCCTCCCATTGCCATATGATTTAGAATGGAATCTTCTTTGGTCTTGTGAAGTGGATTCTCTCTCTTGGTTATAGTTGCGGTCCAAACCCGTATTTAACATGGTATCAGAGCCAGACTCATGGTTGAGACCTTTAATGGCTTAAGTATAATGAGTACACTAGGCCAAGTTGAGTAGGTTCAAGTGGGGGGGGGTAAAAATGCTCTTTAACCCCAAAAATTTCACATGAGACAAATTTAAGGGACATTACATGTGAGGGGAGTCTGAACTATAAACTCTCAAAAAACACATGAAAGTGTCCCATATTGGAAAAGAAGAGAGAGTTAAACACTTTATGAGAAAAGAAGAGAGAATTAAATACTTTATAAGGCTAAGGGGCTACTCCTCTAATTGCCATATGGTTTTAGAATGGAACCTTCTTTGGTCTTGTGAAGTGGACTCTCTCTTAGTTACGAGTGCGGCCTAAACATGTATTTAACAAAGAGGAGAGAGTAAAATACGGCTTTCCTTTGCAACTTTTTTACAGTACTTTGTTTTCCACTATTAAGAGTGTGATTTTCTACAATTGAGAAAATTGTTTTCCACACCTTTACAAACTTTTGTAGAAAAATGATAGAAATGAGAACATCACTTCCCATGAAACATTTTAAACCAAATCAAACACACGGCCTTTGATATAATGGAATTTAAATTAATTAGGTCAATAACGGTATGGTTTGGTTTATTCCAAAAAATCTCCAGCTGTTACAACTCACATAAAATCAGGTTATGGTCGCAAAACAAGTAGCCATTAGAAGATGTAACTTTATGTCCTCTTAATATACAGAATAAAGCTTTATGAGCCTTTATCAATTTATCATAAATTAATAAAATTAAGGAGTAGAATATTCTCTATTCATTCATACAAATTTTTAATTCCTACAAAACATAGAAATTAAAATACCAAACCCTCATGGCAAATGTGACATTTGTATTATTGATAAATGATGATTAGTTTCAATTGATTTTGATAACGAATCTAATCAACAAAAATCTTGACCGCTTAAATACTCACAATAGTACAGTTTGATTTTGTATGAGTACTTGTTTTAATGATAAAGGTATACTTAGTATCTCATCATTGCGTTAAGTTGAGAGATGAAACTCTAATATAATTAATTTAGAAGTAGAGATGATAATATCCTTGTTCTCCCTATTTTTAAAGAGTCTAGTCTGTAAATCAATGCAAGATCTTACAATACCATGAGGGTTTCTGTTTGGTGTGCACCTCTTTGATTCTTGGTACTAAATTTTTTGTTAAAAAACAAGCTATAAAAAAAAAGTAAGATCCAAGTAGCACTACATATTTTGAAGAGTTTTGTTTAGAAGCTATGGAGTAGATAAATAAATTCTTACCTTGACACGTTCTTTATATTAAAGAAATAGCATGACACAATTTATAATCGCGTCAATGACACGTAATTCTAATTGTTTTATCTCGAGAAATAGCTTAATGTATGTACAAATCCAAATTGGGGAACCAAACTTAATAAGTAAAAATGTTTAAGTATAGTCTTAGATGTCAAATCTTGTACTTGTAAATAAGTGAGATTTTGATTTTTTAAATTTTTGGGAATTATTTGTAAGAATTGTCTATCTTATTAATAAGAGTTGTCTGACTATTTTATTTAATAAGATCCTTTTTCTTGCTTTTAAAGAAAAAAAAAACATAGTATTTATGTTGTTAAAACAATTCGTTTAAGTTTGATGTTAAGGGCCAAATTCTATTAACTTCAATATACTTTTATCAAGATCTAACATTACTTCAGTATATATATATAGACATGAATTTAACAAGATCCAACATTACTTCAGTATATTATTTCTTAGTCATATATATATCATATATACTATGTGATTTATATAAGAGTGTGTGAATAGTTTCAAAAATGCTACAATCGTAAAAGAGTGAAAGTTTGGTTTTGTTTGTTATTCATTTTGGCTCCCTACCTAGGGTTTAAAAACGAATGTGAATCACCGAAATCAATTTGATAATCCATAATGATGTAAATGGGATTGAATTACACTTTGGCAATACTTGGGTGAATAAAGCAAAAAATAGAGCAATAAGTATCTCCTAAAATAGCCATGCAAAACAAAAAAAATAATAATAAATGAGAGAGAGTAAAAAAAAAAAAAGTATAATAAGAGAAACAGTAGCTAACAAGAAAGGAAGAAGAGGAGTTAGAATAGGAACCATTCAGTTCATATCCAACTGGTTGTTTACCTGCAATAACACAAACTCTAGTTTCTTTATGTTTTGTTCCAGTTGAGTTCAATTCCCTCCTTTCCATAAACCTCCAATTCCCTACCAAACAAACTATCCCTTATTCTCTCTCCTCTGCCCTCCTTCTGTTTACTGCTCCTCTTCTGAAAGAGAGACACTGCAACTCTTTGTGAGCTCAACCCTACTTTTTTCCAATACTTCCAGAACCTACCCTTATATTTCTTCTTTTTTTTATCATTAAAAAAGTTGTCATTTATCAAACCCTTATATATATATATATATATATATATATATATATATATATCTTTTTTTTTTGCATGGCCCTCACTAATCTTAATTAAGAGGGTTATATTAAAATGCATGGTTAATATTAAATTAATATGGACTTGTTAGTCCATCTTCTTGGTCTAGACCGTCGCGCCCGCCTGTTGGTCCGGTGAACCCTGGTAAGCTTACTGGTGCTCCGATGCAAGTATAGTTTGTGGGGGATGATCCGGTGAGTGCATGGCCATGTGCCATGTAGTAGTCCCCTGATGGAAATATACGTGGCGGTGGCGTCGTGGTGTACAAGCATGGTTGTTGATGATGATGATGATATTGTTGTTGTGGTTGTAGAACTGTTGATGATGCGCCACCGGAGAACATAATTGGTCTTGTTGGGTAGACTTGTTGTGGTGGAGGTGGTGGTGGTTGGTGATATATTGCACTTGGTGGCACATAAGACCTAGTCAAACAAATTAACATCAAACTAAAATTAATCATTGTAAGTTTAATTTTGTTAAGAAATGCCAGGTTACATTTGTGTCACTAGATGACATGCAAAATATTACTCTGTACTACTTAGCTTAGATTTTGTGTATATTTTTTGTCGCTCTTGATTTTATTAGATAAAATGTTATATTTGAAATTAACTCCTAAAGTTAGCTTGATTGAGTAAATAAATACTTCTAAGTGTTATATTATTTTCAAAGAACTAAAAGAAAATTATTGCTTATTAATATTTTTACTAAGATTGAACATGTTAAATAAAATATGATAACTTAATTGTATAGTAGGTGGTGTAAAGAAATACAAGTATATAAATACATTATCACAAAGTACTTTGTAGTATATATGTTACTTCATAAATGTAACATAAATAATCCGCCATACTTGGAACGAATAAATTTTGTTACATTGGACGATCAAGGATATTAGTTATCATTATAGCCATCAACTATTACAAAACTTATCATCTAATTAATCTTCTAATGTTTCGACTTTAAGTATTATCAATTCGTATTAATCTTCTAATGTTTCGACTTTATATATTATCAAGGATAGTACTTCATAACATTGTATCCAAAAATAAATACTCCTCTCATTTTTATCAAACTTTCCATTGCATTTACTATGGATATCTTTTTTGATGAACCATTATAGTAATATTAAGTGATGTTGGAAATAGAAAAAAGGAAAAAATTACCCTAAGTGGGTGAGAGGGTGGTGAGGAACCGGAAGGGGAGGGTTATCAGAGCTATACACCAGTTGCCGAGCCTTGTTTAGCGTTTCTGTCTCTCTCTCTGCACCCAACAACAACATTAGCAGCTACTTTAGATTAGTAGAGTAACTAGCTAGCATAAAAAGCCTAATAATTGAATAAAAAAATGTTAAATATATTAGTATATACAAGTATAATTAATAATAGTAAGAAATGAAATGTTAGAAAAAGATGCATCAATCAAATCAAAGGAGACAAGCATAAAAAGTGTAAGAAAAACAGTAGTTGTTATTACTAGTAAGTGTGCTAGAATTTCAGAGGTTTACAAGAAGGGAAAGTTTTTGATATGACTACGCCTCTCTGTGCCTTCTTCTGATTCTGGACTACTCTAGAATCTGCTCATCGCCGGCTTCCCTATCTACCAATATGTAGGAGTATCTTTCTATCTTATTGTTTTTTTTTAATTCATTATATTAATTATCAATCAGATCAATGCCTCTTATTCTAGGGATTGGTGGTGTATCAATTAATCAACGCTCTCTACTACGAATAGTTTATTCTTATTAATACTGTTTCTAAAAGCTCTACCTATTTCACCGTCCAAATAAGAACAAACGATTCACTGTTTAGTTATTATGAATACTACTCCGTAAACTTAAAAATAAAATAAAAAAATTTATTTTAATTAATTATGGTTCTCCATTAATATTGCAAAGTGAGGATTTAATTGCCAATAATTATTGTAATAGAATGGATGAAAGCTAATAACATAGGGGTTATTATTTCAAAAAGAAAATAATGATAAGATTTTAACCTTTGATACTAAAAGTTAATAGGATTAAAACACATAATTAGTAAGGAAAATTATTTAGTGGAAGAATTGAAATATTAGAGGGAGCAGAAACATGCCTTGGCGGTGGCGGTTCATGTGACCACCAAGGGCTTGAGATTTGCAGAACTTGAGGGAGCAAAACCTACACTCATACACCTTCCCACTTTCATCTTTGTTCTTCTTTTTCTTATGTCCTGCAAGATTTTTTTTTAATAATTAGAAATAAATTACAAAACACCCAAATTAAATTAATCCATTTTTGGAAAATCATTATAAACATATTAAAAGTTTTACATCAACAAAACGTCACTAATGAGTAATGACACAAGATTTACACACACAACAAAAGCAAAACCTAAACCCTAATTCTTGTACTATGCAAACAAAATATATACAAAAAAATGTGGAAATTTTTAATTAAGAATAGTAAATTCATCTTTTACTTACCCAAGCTCATAGATTCACTAAAATAGTCTAATGAGTTTTTCTCTTTCATTTTAAAGATATTGTCCTGTGTATTAATTAAAGTTTTTTTTTTTTTTTTTCTTTGGGATAACTCAGTTAGTGTGAAATCAGATAATATGCCATCCATATGTAAATGAAAAGGAATTTTATAAAAAAAAAAAAAAAAGAACATAGCATAAAAGTGGGGAAGGGTTAGGAGGGAAATAATTGAAATTACCAGAAGTAGAAGTGTCTTCATACAATTGTTTGCCATCTCTAGTGAAATCCTCCGGCAAATAATTTAGGTCCAATGGGCTCCCCTCTGGCCTCCTACACTCCCCACCATAAAACACACACAAATTAGACAACCAAAATTAAAATTTAATTAACTCGAACAGGATGACTACGAGAGATTGACTATATACAATACACTTGTTGTATACAAGTAATCAAAAGGTACGATAAAGATGAGAAAAAGAGAGTACGCATACATGGATGGAAACAGTAGTAGTAAACGAAGAAAGAAGCTAAGAGCGAGTTGAGTGACTAGTAAACTCCGAGTTTGAAACTAACTTCTAGTTGTAGTTTGAAGGTAGTAAAGAAGAAAAAATTAAAACATAATTGAAAGATTTTGTAAAATTTCTTTCAGTTCACTCTGGCAGTCAGCTGAATACTCATTTTATCACTCACTTAATATTGATGGCAAGTGAGACATAAAGGGTGGGTCTCGTGACTTTAAAAAGGGGAAGTGAAGGGAAGAAGTAAAAGGGTGTGTTTTAAATAAGTGTCATTCGGGTTAGGGTCCATTAGGAAGGGAATGAGAGTGACAAGGCCTTACCCTAGTGTGTCTAGGTCTATGGCCTAATTCTATGTTATATAGTACTTCCTCTATTATTTCATATCTTTTATCTATTTATTTATTTATTTATTAATTTGTTTTTTTTTTATGATATGGTTGTTTAACATTAATTTAACACATAGAGTTATGTAAGTTGAGTATGTGTTAATGAAAAGGATGTTTGTAATTGTCTAGAGATTGGTGTTTGAATATAATAAGGGGTTTTTATAATTAAGGTTTAATTATTGACTTATGGTAATGATGAAAATGATAGTTGATGTTTTGTTGGTGATTAAGAATGGCTTTGTTGTTGAATTACTAATATGGTGAAAGAGGAGCTTAGCTAGTTGATATTGTTACGATTGATTGTGATTTAAGAGTAATCTGTTAGCTACGTGGAATAATAGCACTACGACGTACATAAAATAATTTAGAAATATATGATGATGAATATATCGGAAAAAAAAAATAATAATAAAAAAAAAATCCTTTATGAATGGGAGAGGCTAAGGACAAACCTGATACATGTAAATATAACACACTAGACTAAAGAACAACACAATGTTGTAACAATAATGTAATTATAGACATCTAAAATTGTCTCCCCAAATTCAAACCTGAAAATCTAAACCGGATGATGAACAACATTTCATCGCCATTATTGGTCGGATTGCTTATTGAATCTTTGGAGTACTTAAAACCACATTCATAACCCAACACATTTTCATAAGTTGACCCAGTTTTAGTCCAAGTATCCATTTCTTAGCCCAAACCTTAATTAAATATTTTCCTTAATTTTTCGGCAAGGACAAGTGCCGTCAGGGCGTATATAGTGGTAGATGTCATTATCAGTGGGCCCGTGCCTGGGGGATCTGTCAGCGGAGCCAAGAAAAGCATGTCGCAGCACAGGCACGTGGTGAATGCTTTGGGAGTAAAAGACCGTCCTCGGCCCTCCAGCATTCCATCAGTATCCTTCTTAGAGGCTGATATCAAGGGCATCGTTTTTCCTCATGATGATCTGTTAGTACTCATACTAGCTATAAATGGTAGGTTGATCAAGCGAGTCTTAATTGATGGAGGAAGCTCTGCAAATATATTGTTCACAAAGGCTTTTGATGCTATGATGATTGGAAGGCAGTACTTAAGGCAAGTGCCCTACCCAGTCATCGGTTTCAATGGATCTACCATCAGGCCCGAGGGCAGCCTTGTGTTGCAGGTTCGTATCGACGAAGGAGCTGCCGTGAGAGATGTGATGACGAAATTTCTAATGGTTGATGTGCCGTTAGTGTACAACGCCATCGTCAGTAGAACGATGATACATGAAGTACAGGCTGTCGTATCAACATACCACCTAACAATGATATACATATCTAATAACGGTTTCCCTGAGCGTGTTAGGGGAAGCCAAACAATGGCTAGAGAATGTTATATGACAGCGCTAAAACAGCCATGCCGACAGCCGTCAATGGATAGTGTAAGTTAGAAAAGGGAAAGAACCCCATCCGCACATGACCTGTCTATGGAGAATTTTGATACACGGCCAATGTCGGTACCCTGTCCCCTGCCGGGAGGGGAAACCATTGAAGTTAAGTTACAGCCGGGAGTCCTAGGTCGAGTTGTGAGAGTTGGATCTGACATGGATGTTGATTTGCAATGTCATTTAGTTGATCTCCCGCTGGAGAATGCAAATGTATTTTCCTTCTTGGCTGATGAGATCTTAAGGATACATCCCAACATCATGTTACACAAACTGAATGTAGATAGAAAAGCAACACCGGTAAGACAAAAGAAAAGGAATTTCTTGACTAAGAAAATCGAAGCTGTACAAGATGAGGTGAATAAATTGCTAGTGCCAGGATTTATAGAACCTTGTACTTACCCTGAGTAGTTAGCCAATGTGGTGATGGTGAAGAAACCGTCAGGAAAGTGGAGAATGTGTCGATTTTACTGATCTAAACAAGGCTTGTACAAAGGATTGTTATCCCTTGCCCATGATAAACATGCTGGTAGACTCAACCTTAGGCCATGCTTTGTTGAGTTTTATGGATGCGCTCTCAGGATACCATCAAGTCAGTTTATATGAGACCAACAGGACCAAGGCCGCGTTCATTATAGACGTTGGAGTTTATTGTTATAGAGCAATGCCTTTGGGCTACGAAGTACGGGCGCGACATATCAGAAATTGGTCGACAAGGTGTTTGTAAATCAGAAGGGTAGAAATGTAGAAGTGTATGTGGATGATTCCATTGTGAAGAGCCGATTAGCTACAGATCACATTACAGACTTGCAAGAAACTTTTAATACTCTTAGACAACACAGAATGAAGTTAAATCCGGAAAAATGTGTTTTTGGTGTAAAATCGGGGAAATTTCTGGGTTTTATGGTTAGTGAAAGAGGAATTGATGCAAATCCCGATAAGATTGATGCTATTCTCAGTTTGCCACAGCCGAAATCGATATAAGACATACAAAAACTCACAGGCCGCATGGCGACATTAACTAGATTTATAAGCAAATCGGCTAACAAGGCACTCCCATTCTTTGTCGTGTTGCGGCAAAACAAGACATTTGTATGGGGTAAAGAGCAGGAAAAAGCACTCGAGGTAGTCAAAAATCACCTCCGATCATTACCGACAATAGCTAGGTCAAAGAAAGGAGAGAAGCTTCAATTGTATATCTCAGCATCTCCTAAAATGGTAGCAGCGGTGTTACTTGTAGAGCGAAAGAAAGTGCAAATGCCCATCTACTTCGTGAGTCATGTTTTGAATCCTGCGAAACGACGATACCCGTTGATAGAAAAGATTGCGTACGTAGTAGTGATAGCGGCGCGAAAGTTGAGGCCATATTTTGATGTACATACAATTGAAATTCTAGCAAATTAGCCGTTAGAAAAGTCCCTTCAGAAATTGGAAACTTTTGGCTGTCTTCTCAAATGGGCCATAGAGCTGTCAGAATATCATCTAGTTTACAAACCGCAAGTGTCTATAAAGGCATAAGCTTTGTCTGACTTCATTGTGGAAACATCTTACACAGATGAAGAGGAAGATATCGGAACGTGGAAGGACTCAGTTGACGGTTTAGCAGCTTCAACCGGTTCAGGGGCCGGTATTATAATGACTTCCTCGCAGGGAGATGTGTTTGAGCTGTACGCTATAAAGTTCAAATTTAAAGCTTCCAATAACGAAGCTGAATATGAAGTGGCAATAACTGGAGTCCAATTATGTATAGTGGCAGAGGCAAAACGAATTGAATTGTCAACGGACTCATAATTGGTTGCAAGTCAGTTTAACGGTGAGTATAAGGCCCGGGAGCAAACAGTGACAGCTTACCTTGCCAAAATGAAAGAATAGCGGCAAAGTTAAAGTACTCTGAAATCACATTGGTCCCACGTGCTTAAAAAGCGCAGGCAGATGCCTTGGCAAAACTGGCGAGTTCAAGTTTCAACGATTTAGAGTGAACAGTGGTGGTAGAAATCCTAGATCACAAAAGCATTGATACAACTCAAGTGGAGGTTAACTGCATTAACGGGGGCCGAGAGTGGTACAACGATATTCTGGCTTACAAGTTATACTATACCCTCCCTACCGATAAGCTTGAAGCCCACAACGTGAAGAAAGATAGCATCTGGTTTGATATGTTTTGCGGGGGGTTATATAAGAGAGGTTTCTCATTACCACTGCGAAGGTGCAAAACGGCTTTCAAATCCGCAAGGTTGATAGAAGAAATTCATGAAGGTGAATGCGGAAATCATGCGGGCGGTCGGTCTATGTCTTTAGAAGCTATGAAGAGAGGTTACTATTGGCCGACAATGAACGCAGATATGCTAGCATATGCGAAAAAGTTCATCTAGAAAAACAAATTTACCCGGTTTGGTTTGCCGATGGTAGTGGTGTTTGATCATGGCTTCCAATTTGATTGCAGCCTTGTCAAAAATTTCTTGAGTGTATACAAAGTAAAGTTTACCTACGCGGAAATTTTCCATCCACTGTCGAACGGTCAGGTTGAAGCCGCTAATAAGAAAATACTCAATGCGTTGAAAAAGTAGAAGACGCAAAAGGGTTATGGGCCGATTTGGTACCAGATATAATGTGGGCCAATAGGTCAACGATAAGAGGAGCAACTGGAGAATCACCGTTTAACCTCGCTTTCGGTTCAGAGACGGTTATCCCTGCTGAAGTCGGCCTTCCAACATTTCGCATTTAACACTATTATGAAGAACAAAATGATCATTTGTTAAGACAGCAGTTAAATTTTTTGCCATAGGTAAGGTTGAAAGCGGCCATTAAATCTGAAGCTTATAAAAATAGAATGAGTCATGCTTATAACAAACGTGTTAATTACCGTTCTCTTGAAGACGGTGATTTGGTTTTAAGAAGAACAATGGCTACCAGTAAGGAAAATGCAAATGGTAAGCTAACCGCGAATTAGGAAGGTCCTTGTCAGATTTATGAAACTCTAAGGCAAGGGTCATATCGGCTAATGACCCTAGAGGGTGTACCCCTTAATAACGTCTGGAATGTAAGCGTCCTTAAGAAATATTATGTGTAATAGCTATCTTTTTTTGGGTTCATAATTATGTATTATCGGACTGACTAAGGGTCATCACATTTTGTAAACTTTGTGTGCTTGATTGACGTCGTTAATAAAGTTGAAATTAGCGGCCCGATATCAAATGTGTGAACCCCCCCTCCCCCCGCTTTCGATATGGACGTGCGAACGGCCGAGCTAGCTGTATCACCCATTCAAGTGAGGAGGGAGGTTATATAACAAAGACACCTATAGGCGAGTTGAAATGATGGTCTGATCCACTATCTTTGCTCGACCTGAAAAGGTTGCAAGTATCATACAGGTGAAATCATGCTATAACCTAGGCCCATAATCTGGTCATGTTATAGTGGCTGATAGCCGTTTTTGCGAAAGGTATTCAAATAAGTTTTAAATAAGACTATTCGAAGGACCGAAGCGCCCACCAACACCGAAAACCTAGCTTAAAGTACATCATATCTGGTAAATGTCGACATAACATTATTGTGAAAAGAATGAAAATGGAAATAGGTATCAGACTAAATGACAGTCTAAAAGTACGCTGTGCAACTAACATACTGATAAGTAAAAGGAATAAATCACAAAACTGAAAGCATCATGTATACATAGCAAAAGTTAAAACTTAAAAGGTTATCAAACATACTTTAAAACAAAGTAAACCGACAGACATCACCCAAAAAAGTACAAGGATCAGACCGGCTAAAACAGACAATACTTTGTTCATACAAACAGAAACTTAGTCTTAGAACAACAAAAACACAAATAAAACTCATTCAGCTTAGCAGCAGTTGCAGGAAAAGGAGGATCCACATGATGAGTTTGGTGATGACTGCCCAACCCTTTAATCTTTCTTCTTCTCAGACTCTTTCTCTGGCCCTTTCTCACCTACAAAGCTGGAAAGAATGGCGTCATCAAACTCTTCATCCACCACATCACATGGATCAACGTTCGTCATTGTTTCAATGCTGGGGGGATCGAAAAATATGCTTCTTCATAGCTGGTAGGAGAATGATGTTTGTCCTTACCATAAGCATCCTCGATTAACTGCCATCTCGTCTCCTCCTAATCCTCAACACGCAACGATGTGCCGCCACCCATCCACCGGTATAGCGATCAACAAGCTTGTCCCGATATAAGTCAGACCTCAAGAACCGGTTGACAGCTTAGCGCCTGATAGCAGGCTTCT